CTTGGGCGGGCGTGGGGCCATCCTGGGGGGCATCCTGTACCGTCTTGAGCTGATGGAAGTTCAAGAAGGCGAGAACGCGAACAGCTTGTAAAGATCATTGAAGAATCAATCAGTTGGGCTTCATCGGACCCTATTGGTGGTCCTCTTGTGGTGCTCTTGGGGCCATCCTGAGCCGCCTTGAGGCCATCGTGGGCCGCCTGGGGGCAATTGTTGGGCCGTCTTGCGGGCATATTGGGTCATTGTGGCAGCTTTGGTTGCCTACCTGGGCCGTCTTGGAAGCTCGGGAACGAGGACCCACCGTTTCTTTACGCGGCATCGTGGCCTCGGAAGCGCGGATCCGTCGCTGTATACGAGGGACAGTTGCATCAGAAGAGAAAGGGGGGGGGCACGCACCAGTCCGAGTAGAGAGTGGGGGACCCCTTAGTAGATTACAGAAGTATTGCCAGGCAAACCTTGTAGTCTTACACGCCTCGACGGGCCAGGGGCACGGTGGCGGATAAAATCAAGTGTCCAGCCGCCCTCCTCGAGCGTGCGCCCGATGGCGGAAAAGTGTTTGTCATACCGTTATGTCTGTCACTAGGGTGAGGGGACCGAACGGTGACTCATTGTCCATGGGTGCATGGTTGAAGTGAGATTCCGTTGTGCGGATTATGCGTGTCTTGTGTTCTTGTTGTTTTTGATTGTTGTTCTTGCGTGTTGTGGAAGACTCAACTCTGAACAATGATTATTGTTAATCCCCCCTTTCCGATACCCAGTGTTGTCCCAAAGCTCGCAGCTTGTCTTTCTAACCAGGGAACGTCTTGAGTCCCAGAATTGCACCTGCGGCCACGAAGTGCTACAACAACGCCGTCCGCCCCACACTGCTCCCGCTCAGGATTTCCTTACAAGGTACCAAGGGATCGCGCTCTCGCGTGGGATCTCCTCCCAAAGGTGTGCAGGCGCCAGGCGCCACGGCATTGGCAGTCAGTAACCACGCTCTCGCCCAGGACGCCCGTACGATTTGATCAGGGCGGTCCTGTGCTAGCCGTGAAAGAATCACGCTCTCGCTCGAGAACCCCTGGCAGTTTACCAAAGAATGGTGCTCTCGCTCGGAACTTCCTCGCATTTTACCCAGAAAACGCGATCTCGCTTGAGACTTCCTTGCGATCCACTTGAGGATTTAGTGGCCCGCCCGCCCAGCCCGCCCGCTGTGGCCCGCAGTCGCCACTCACTGCCGCGTTCATGCCCCGCCCGTTGGGGCCCGCCCGCCCCGCCCGCCCGACCCGTCCGCGTGGGTCCGTTTCTTGTTGTCTGGTTCTTACCTCTTCCCTTTTTCTTGCTTGTCTCTCTGGTCCTCCTCCCCCCTGCCTCCCCCATTGCCCCCTCCCTCCTCCCTCCCCTTCCGCCACTCCGTGTCTCCTCGCTCGTTCTTTCCTTTTCTTCTCCTCTTACGGTTTTGGGGGTTGCGCCAACTACGCGTGGCAGGCAAAGAAGATATACCCCCAAAGGGGATACTGTACGTTCGAAGACGAAGAGGGCGGAGATCGAGGGTTTGATATGCGCATATATATAAATATAGAGAGAGAGAGGTTGATTGACACGCGCGCAGGTGAAAGCGAACAGTCTTGGTATTGTTGTCGTCGTTGTCCTCGCCCGCGACCACCCCGCGACCCATCCCGCGACCCACCCCGCAACCCAACCGCGACCCACCCCGCGCCCGCCCCAGACCCAGATCTGCAACTGCAGGGTGCTAAGTGCCGTTTCTCGCCCGCTAAGGGTAGGGGGGATGAGGCACAGGGGGAGCAGGAGGAAGAGGACAGGGAAAAAAGGGAGGAGGAGTGAGGGAGGAGGAGGAGGACGAGGACGAGGAGGAGGAGGAGGAGGAAGAGGAGGAGGAGTGAGGGAGGGAGGAGGAGAGGAAGAGGAGGAGGAGGAGGAGGAGGAGGAGGCGAGGGGAAGGAGAAGAGGAAGAAAAGGAGGACGAGGAGGCGGAGGCGGAGGAGGAGGGCTATGGCCGCCCATGTGCGCGGGCGCCCCCGCCCCCACGCGGCGGCGAGGCATTTCGTTGTGCGCGCGTGTTGTGTTTGTCCGCGCCTGCGAGGGAACAGACTCGGAACACTGCCCCAGAAAGTGAGGGTGAGTTTGCGGACGAAAACATGTTCCTCTCCTCCCCTACACCCCCCCCCTACCCCTGCCCCGCTCTCTCCCTCAGTCCCTCCTCCCGCCCTCTCCGCGCCTCCCCTGCTCCCTAACCCCCATCGGCCGCTCCTTGTCCTCACCCCCCCCGTCTCCTCACTTTCCCCTCCCTCGTCACCGTTCCTTCCCCGTCCTCCCTCGCTCTCCTTGCCCGATGCTCCCTCATCCCGCGCCCTCGTCTCCCTCTTCTCTCTCCCGCATCTTTCCTCTTCTCCTCGTCCTCCTCCTCCTCCTCACAACTTTGCTCCTACACCTCCAAGGACCCCGGACCCCCCACACTCACTCCAACCTCCCTACCATTGGGAAGCAGCGTATAGCGTGTCACCAACAGTAATAGAATATGGTATCGCATAGTTCTCAGAGATGTGTCTTCTGGTCTCTTCGGAGCGCTCTCGGGGGCGAGCAGTTGGGTGCCTCTTGGGAGCCTTTCGGGGGCCTCTTGGGGGCCTCTTGGGGTCTCTTGGGGGCATCTTGGAGCCTCTTGGAAGCCTCTTGGGGGCCTCTCAGGACCTCCTGGGGGCCCCTCGGGGCCGAGGGCTCGAAATGTCCGCTCGGGTTCTCCATCCGGGCCCCCATCTTGTGGCCGTCTTTGGGCCCGTTTGGACCGTCTTGGGTGCCTATTGGACCGTCTTGGGCTCCCTTGGGCCGCCTTGGGGCTTTCTTGGGGGCCGTCTTGGGGCGATCTTGGGGGCCTCGTGGGCCGTCTTGGAGCGTCGGGAAGCCGAAAAGGCGAGAACGTCAACATCTTTTCAACAGCCTGAGGGAAACAATGATGTTGGCCTTTTGAGGCCCTTTGGGGAGGCCTCTTGGAGGCCTCTGGGGGGTGTCCTCGGCCGTCTTGGGCGTCTCGGAGCGTTCTTTCGGCGACTCGGAGCACTCTTGGACCATATTATATTGGGGGTCTCTGCAGCTCGTCCAGGAGGAGAGAGACGCATTCACGTTGAGTGGGGCCCCCGCGCGCGGAAAGCTGATGGGAGCGCACGAGACAGCATGGGGCCCATCCTGGGACGTTGATGACCATCCGATTTCGTCCGGTTCCCCTAACATAGATTTTAAACGGCGTAGAAATCGAATCCGCCGTTAAAAATAAGGCCGGACGCGGATCCAGAAAATCCGAAATCGGATCCGCGCGGACGGGAATCGGATCCACCGAAACAAAAATTGAAACCACAATTGGATCCGGTCGACCTTCGTGAGGTACGACTGCTGGTATCTCCGACGCGTCTGATCAAGATTTCAAACCGTCGCTCTGGGCCCGAGAGGAAAATTGCCGTCCTGGGGATGTATACAGATATATGCATCTATGTTTATAGATAGGTGTGTGCATGTGTATATACATATGTTCACAGGCAGATTTCAATCAATCACCAAGTATCATGAATATGCATGTACACATGTACATGTGCATATACATGTACATGCATGCATACATGCACATATATATATACATACATATACATACATGCGTACATACATACATACATACATGCATGCATGCATGCATGCATACAAGCACGCATATGATCATACATAAATGCACATATGCATGCATACATGCATGCATACAAACATGCAGACATGAATAGATATGCGCACGCACGCATACATACATACGTACGTATATACATACATGCATACATGCATGCCTGACTGAATGCAGACATGCATGCATATATGTATACGTTCACAGATACATACAGGCATACAGACATACACACATACCTGCATACATGAATACGTGTGCACATACACACATGTGTGTACATACAGGCATACATGCATGTATGCAAACATACATACATCAATACGTGTTGGCATGCAAGCATGTATGCATGCATACAGTCATACACATATGTGTATATAGATATGCATGTGCACGCATGCCTGCACGAGTACAAGTACCTATATGTCTAGATATACGCATACACATAAATATGTGTTTAATCATACATAAATATGCGCATATGCGTATGCAAGTATACAAATAAACACATATACACAAACATATACATATATATACGGCACTCCTGCGAACTTAGGTTTAGACAACAGCTGGGAACACGCTGCGCAAAAAGGTCGGGGTGTGAGATCCACGGTCACTCTTGCGCGCAGCCGAGATGGATGTTGGTCGCAATTTCAGCCAACTTCCACCGAATCGAGACGTCGCGATGGGCGTTCCGGGGGAGCGCGCCGACTTCGGCAAGACCCGCGGACCCCAGAGGGACCGCCAAGCCCTCGTAATCACCGGCGTTGCCTCTGCGTGAGCAGCGCCGTGTTTCCGAGAGGCTGGTCGGGCGCGCGTGTTGCCTTCCTTCCGCGAGGTATCACCACGAGCCTGAAAGACGAGCGCGTAGAGTCCACGCGGAGGCGCAGTCAAGACGCCGTTTGGGCTCTGGGGAGCGTCTCTGGCTTCCAGGCCGCTCCTCGGATCTAGGTCGCAGGGCCTATTCTTGGCCGAGGCTCTCGAAAGCCAGAAAAGCCCCTCCGATCCTTATTCGGCGCCCCTGGTGTTGGCGCGATGACTGCACAACACGCGCATTAGATAAGAAGCCAGCCTGTCAGCAGGTGCCCCACGGAGAAACATATGTCACCATCGGTTGGCCCCGGAGGGGGCCCCGCGGAGGCCGTGCAGGACCTCGCCCCCGGCCCCCGCCCCGCCGTGGCCGACCCGCCGGGAAGGGCCCCCAGAAGGGCTTCCGGAGGGTGAGAAAAACTACAGACACCGCCCGTCTTGTTTTCTACTTCACGAGGCGAGGAGGTCTGGGCCTTCCCCCTCCCCATGCTCAGCCTTCCCCCCCCCCTCCCCCGCCTCTCCCCGCCGCGCCAGCCCTCTCCCGCGCCCCGCCGTGGCGGACCCGCCGGACCCGATGGCGGCGCGCCGCAGGGAGGCCGGCTGCTGCCTCGGCGGCGTCGGACGCAGCGCGCCGCCTTCTTCCTCCTCCTCCTCCTCCTCCTCCTCCTCCTCCTCCTCCTCCTCCTCCTCCTCCTCCTCCTCCTCCTCCTCCTCCTCCTCCTCCTCCTCCTCCTCCCTCCTTTTTCCATCTCATTAGCCGTCTGAGGATCCCGAGTTCCAGAAGTCCGAGGACGACGGTTTGTTTTCACCGTTTTGTGACTCCTGTAAGGCCGCTCCAAGCCAGGCCAAGCCTCCCTCTGTTGCTCCATCTCCTCGCCCTCCTCCCTCGTCCTCTCTCTCTCCCACCCGCGTGCCTCGGGGCAGGGCTCCGACAACTTCGGTCGGCTCCCGCGCGCCCCCCCCGGCGATCGGAGTGGAGGAGGGATCCCCGCATCGAGGTTTGACGATCGATGAAATGGAGGCTTTCTGGGTGTGTTTGTGCTTTGGGATATTGTCTGGGCTTTTCTGTGCGGCCTGTGGCGCCCTCGCGGCCGTGGATGGATCCGCCTCGAGATTCTGGCCAGGACGCGTCCCGGAACAGGTCCAGAGCGTAGATGATATTAAGAACGCCCGGGGGCGTTTTTGTTTCCGTTTGGGGGTAAGTTGTTTTTCCATGTGGGGTTCTCCTTCGCGCCATTGTTGTTTCGGTTCCGTGTTGCATTGCCATTGTTTTTCTGTTTCGGATTGCCATTGTTTTCCGGTTTGATTAGCCGAAACCGAAAATTGAAAACGGGACACGAATGCCCCCAGCGTTTTCAACATCAACTAAGCCCAGATCCAGGCCCCATCGCGTCGCCAAAACAAAAAGCGCAATGCTTGTATTCATCTTCAGTCCCTGGGGACCCTCACTGTGCCCCAGGGCTTTCAAGAAGAGCTCAGGATGAAGAAGCGGTATTGACGAGTGGGTCAGACCTCCAGAGGTCCACGTTCTAAGCAAATTACCTTGGCGAAGGACCCAGCAATGTGCAGTTGTGAGTACCGCGTTGTGGGCACCACTTCCGGTGAAGCTCTCTATAGGGCCACGAGGCGTGTGAGGAGAGTGCCCAAATCGGCGGGGAACCGCATGTGGATCGTGCCACTGGGGCCTTCGGTTGAGCTCCCTATGGGGCCACGAACCGTGTGAAAGGTGTGCAGAAATCGACGGGGAAGCGTATGCAAATTTTGCCGTTGGAGCCTCTGGTAGAGCTGTCTACGTGGCCACGAAGCGTGTGAGGGGTGCGCCGAAACGGGTGGCGCGGGCGCATGTGGACGGTGCCCGTGGGGCCCTGGGTGGAGCTCCATGTGGGGCCACGAAACGTGTCATGGGTGTGCCGAAAATGATGGCGCAGACGGACGCATGTGGACGGTGCCACTTGGGCCTTGGGTGGAGCTCCCTGTGGGGCCACGAAACGTGTGAGGGGTGTGCCGAAAATGGGTGGCGCGGACGCATGTGGACGGTGCCAGTGGGGCCGTGGGTGGAACTCCCTATGGGGCCACGAAGCGTGTGAGGGGTGCGCCGAAATGGGTGGCGCGGACGTATGTGAACGGTGCTGTAGGCGGTAGCCGTGAGGATTTGGGTGGAGCTCCACATGGGGCCGCGAAACGTGTGAGGGGTGTGCCGACACGGGTGGTGCGGACGCATGTGGACAGTGCCGCTGGGGCCTTGGGTGAAGCTGTTGGCCACGAAGCGTGTGAGGGGTGCGCCGACATGGGTGGCGCGGACGCATGTGGACGGTGCCCGTGGGGCTTCGGGTGAAGCTCCATGTGGGGCCACGAAGCGTGTGAGGGGTGTGCCGACATGAATGGTGCGGACGCATGTGAACAGTAGCCGTGAGGATTTGGGTGGAGCTCGACATGGGGCCACGAAGCGTTTGAGGGGTGAGCCGAAATGGGTGCCGCGGATGCGTGTCGACGGTCTCGTGGGGCTTTGGGTGGAGCTGCCTATGGGGCCATGATGATGATGATGATAATAATAATAATAATGATGATGGTGATGATGATGATGATAATGATTATTGTGATCACGATGATGGTGGTGATGGTGGTGATGATGACGATGACCATGGCGATGACGATGACGATGACGATAACGATGAGGATTAGGATGATGACGATGATGATGATGATGATGATGATGATGATGATGATGATGATGATGTCGACGACGATGATGCTGATAAAGATGATGGTGGTGGTGATGGTGGTGATGCTGATGATGACGCCGACGACGATGATGCTGATGGTGGTGGTGATGATGCTGTTGATGATGCGGATGATGAGTATAATGATGATGAAAATGAGAATGATGATCAGAAAGATGATGATGATCATGATGATGATGATGATGATGATGATGATGATGGTGATGGTGATGGTGATGGTGATGCAGAAGAAGATGTTGATGATGATGATGATGAAGATGACGATGATAAGAATGAGGTTGATGACGTTGATAATCATAATTATGATGGTGATGATGATGATCAGCAGGAGGAGCAGGAGGAGGAGCATGGGCATGAGGATGATGATGATGCTGCTAATGCTGGTGATGGTGTTGATGATGATGCTGATGCTGATGCTGGTGATGATGATGCTGATGATGGTGATGGTGATTGTCAAGGTCATTGTGATGATGATGATGGTGATGATGATGGTGATGATGATGGTGATGGTGATGATTGTGATGATGGTGATGATGGTGATGTTGATGATGATGCTGATGATAATTACGATGGTGATTGCGATGACGGTGATGCTGATGATGCTGACTAAGACGGAGGAGGGAGGCGCGGGAGGAGGTGGGAGGGACGTGGGGCGCTGTCTCTTCACAACGAGGACCCAGCACCACAGGATAGTCGGGACAAAAAATGTGTTCGCGGATTCGGCGCTCGCCCAAGGCGGTAAAGCTAGGTCGGGCTGCGAAGACGCTAGTTTGCAACAGGACAGTGTCGAAGGAGGCCGGCCGCGGAGGGAGAGGACTGCGGGGGCGGTGTTCAGGACAGGATGAGCTGGTCGTGGTGCTGGTGCTGCGACCCAGGCTCCAAGTGGAGTCTTGCGAAGGGGCAGCCAGACTTGCACAGAACAGCAAGAGTAATCACGAGAAATAACAAAAACTTTGAAATCTGAGGACGTTGGCGTCGCGGACGAGCCTGGCCGCGACGATGTCGACGTCGACGAAGCCATTCGACGTCGCCATCGTTGGCAAGCACTATCACCCTGACATAATTATATATACAGTTGCTTCTCCAAGCACATGATTTCAACCGCGTTTACGTCATTCAAGACACTGACACCACACACACACAAGACAGAGGGGTGTGGGTAAGCGGGTGGCGGGAGTGGACAATGGACGAGGAGGGTGAGGAGGAAGAGGAGCAGAAGAACGAGTAATTCAGAGACGAGTTATGCATTACACGCAGTAGGTTTAACACGTTTGTCTTCCCCATCAGTTGCACCTCATGCCATTTACCCTATAGATTGCACCCCGTAGAGTTGCACCCCGCGAGTTGCTCCCCATGTGCAGGCTACACCCCGAAAGTCTGCATCATGTAAATTGCACCACAGATGTTGCACCCGATAGGCTGCGCTCCATCTTGCATTGAAGGAGGTGCACCCCACTTGTTGTGCCCTAAAACTTGCACCTCGTGAGTTGCATATTACGAATTGTTTCACGTAGGTTGCGCAACGCCAAAACAGTCCAGCTTCTAGGGTCCGCTCACCAGAGACATCTTGGGCCCATCTGCTATCAATATTAGTCTAGTCTTGACTGTGGGTCAAGGGCAACGTGAAGAAGGGGGAGCAGGCTCAGGGGGAAAGGCATCGACCCCCAGTCGCCCATTGATCGCCGATATGGCTCCGATAGCCCATCCCACCCAGGAACGTCCAGATTCGCCATCGGGGGCCCATCGCCGCTCCATCGGCGACGTCGGCGATGCATCGCCGATTCCAGCTCCATGCCCGCCCCCCCGAGCCGATCCCGCCCTGACGCTCCCCAATGCGTGCGTGGCGCCCTTGGGGGCCATGGGCACGAAAGGGGCGGTCCCCGCACGCCCGCCTTCCCCCCCCCCCCCAGGACGCCTCCTGGGGCGCGGCGGGGCTGCGAGCGGCGGCCTCGGCTCTCACCGAGCGGCCCCCAGTCGCCGCAGCATCTGTCGCTGGTCTATCGGCGGCTTACCACACGAAACGACGATTCGACTTGGAGCCGTCGGGTCGGATGAAGGGGCCGAGGAGCCTCACGCCGTGCCCGGATCTCCGGAGAGATGATCTTGTTTCCATCCAAACGTGTTTCCTCGATCTCGGCCCCTGAGGCCCGTCATCGGGCTCCGGGACCATCAGAAGCGAGTCCAGGACGCGCAATTACCCCCAGGGACGGGGTCGATGAGCCTCAGGACGTGTGCACGTGTGTTTGGAAAAAACTGGAGCCAGCTGGGGATCTGAGGTGGCCTACCGCCGGTCCCAGCCAGCAGGAAGGAGGGATGAGGGCCCCTTTTGTTGCCACGGCTGGACGCGGCTCGAAAAGCTGGTCAGCTTGAAATACAGGAGAGGTTCGGGGACCGACTTTGAGCGAAGTTGCCTTCATCGCGAAGTTGCCCTCCCAGCTGCCTCCAAGTTTCGATGCTGTCACTGGGTGGCAATATGATAGCTTAGAGAATGTTAACGTCTCAGCCGCCGCTGGCTTCGGGTCGCAATCAGAGACCGAGTTGTGTAGACAATGGCAGTGGCGGGTTAGGTGGTCGGTTGTGCATCGGCTAGGTTGCAAAGTAAGGACATGATCGCACGTGGCGCGCTTGGAGTTGTTTGGGTACCTTCTCGTCGATGGCGCATGAACTAAGGAAAAGGGCACCCTCCCCTCACACACCTTTGCACACGGCTACGAGACATTTGCCGAGACTGTGTTTTTGTTCGAGGCTGCCCGCAAAGATGAATCAATTCCTTACAGTGAGTTTGACTCCCCCACCCTCGGACTTGCCTTGCAGGAAGATGGTAGGCGCAGACGTTTCGTTTGATGCGCCGAAAGGCGTCCATATGAGCGATGGTTTTCATTGACCCTCCAAAGCGGAAATCAAGGTTCCCCCCTTCCCCAGGGATTCATTTGCACACACGTAGTGCTTGGCTTGCTCTAGCGACAAAGAAATTGACAGCAGCAACAACAATAACAACAACAATCATTTTAAGCGCTCTTATGTGCTCGAGTGTTATTCAAAGCGTATTTCGCGAACCCTCGATACCGGCCCTGTTCGTCTTCGATCGTACCCTTTTGGGGGGTATATTTGTCCTCCCTGATGGCCGGGCCCCGTCAAGCGGCAGGGCGGCCGCGGGCCGTCGGCCTGGCCAGCGGCAGCGCTGATCGGCGGCAGCCCGACCCCAAGAGGGCTGGACAGGGGACCGACCACGACGACGACGACGACGGCCACGGCCACGGCCACGGCCACGGCCACGACGACGACGACGACGACGACGACGACGACGACGACGAGCGAAAGCGAGACCGACAACGAGGGCGACAGCGGGGCCACGAAGGTCAGGAAGGGGGCCACGAAGGGCAACAGCGGGGCCACGAAGGGCATGCGTATGGGGCCAGGCAGGGCGCGAACGAGCGGGAGCCACGAAGGGCAGATAATGCGGGGCCACAGAGGGTAACGACGGGGCCACTGAGGGCAGCAACGGGGCCACGTAGGACAGCGAGGGGGCCACGAAGGGCGACAGCGGGGCCACGAAGGGCGCGCATATGGGGCCACGACGGGCGCGAACGAGCGGGGGCCACGAAGGGCATACGTATATTGGGCCGCAGAAGGTCACGACGGGGCCACTGAGGGCAGCAACGGGGCCACGGAGGGCAGCGAGGGGGCCACGAAGGGCGACAGCGGGGCCACGAAGCGCATGCATATGGGGCCACGACGGGCGCGCACGAGCGGGGGCCACGAAGGCTATACATATATAAGGCCACTCAGGGCAGCAACGGGGCCACGAAGGGCTGCAACGGGGCCACGGAGGGCAGCGAGGGGCCACGAAGGGGTGCAACGGGGCCACGAGGGGTTGCAATGAGTCCACAAAGGGTTGCGAGGGGGCCACGAAGGGTTGCAACGGGGCCACGAACGGCAGCGAGAGGGCCACGAAGGGCTGCAACGGGGCCACGAACGGCAGCGAGAGGGCCACGACGGGCTGCAATGGGGCCACGAAGGGCAGCGAGGGGGCCACGAAAGGCCGCAAAGGGTCGGCGAAGGGCAGCGAGGGGGGCCACGAAGGGCTGCAACGGGGCCACGACGGGCAGCGAGGGGGCCACGACAGGCTGCAACGGGTCCACGAAGGGCAGTGAGGGGGCCACGAAAAGCTGCAGCGGGACCACGAAGGGCAGCGAGATCCCGATTCGTAATGAATCGGTGAGGGAATCCTAAGCGTGAGCGCGACTCCTGGGTGCCTGAGTGTCGGCAGCGTGGCGCTTGAGTGAATTGATTTGAAGGGAACTCCAACGCAAGAGCGCGATTCTCGGTTAGCTTACAAGCGAATATACAGCGAGAGCGCGATTCCAGAGCGCCGAGAGAGCGATTCCTCAATACATAGCAAGGAAGTCCCAAGCGAGAGCGCGGCTCCTGAGTAAAATGCGAGGCGGTCTCAGGCGGGAGCGGGGGCCCTGGCTAAAGTGTGAGGAAGTCTCACGCGGGAGCCGTTCTTGTTGCAACCCGGGGGCAACAACGCAGTTTGAGCCTGGTGGTTTTCCTTGTCTAAAACCAGGGTGCGAACCATGGGGGAGCACTCCATTTGAAAAAACAATGGTTACTGGAAGGGGGGGACCAACAATAATTAACTATTCTTCAGTAGTGGGAGCTCAACAGCAGCAGCAACAACGAACATGTTAAAACTGTTCGTAAGTATCTACTCGCGTGCCACCCAACACGTATATCCCAAATCATCGATACCCGCCTTTGTCGTCCAGCCCCTCAGGCAGAAGAAGAGGAGGGCGGATGGAAGGAAGGGACAAGGGGGGAAGGAGGAGGATGGAGCACGAGAGAGAGAGAGAGAGCAGGAGGGGGACTAGGAGCAGAAAACACGTGGCAGAACCAGACGGGCAAATCGGGCGGGTAGATCTTAAAGGGGGAGTCGGAAAAGGCGGGCCCAGGCGGCCAGGTCGAGCATGCGGGTTGCTGAAGCTTGCGTCCTGCATGAACCGCGAGGAAATCGCAAGCGATAGCGCGATTCCCAAATACATCGTTGGTAAATCCAGAACGAGAGCGTGATTCCTGAATGTCGAGGGCGCGGCGTCTGAATAAATTGCGAGGAAGGCCCACGAGACAGCGCGATTCTTGCACAGGACGTCCCGCGCGAGAGCGCGATTTGGGAACAAATTGTGACGATTCATCCGGTGGGGGTCGCTGTTGCTGTAAACTGGGGGCCAGGGGCACATTTTGGGGACCCCACATTGTCCCTTATTTCCCTACCCAGGCTCTGCCTAGAAGGGTTCTTACTCTCTAGCGTAAAGGGGCCGGGCAGTGGAAAGCGCCCCGGGCGGTTCCCCCAGTCCCCTGGGAGCGGTTCCCCCCAGTCCCCTGGGAGCTTTAGCTTTAGCTTTAGCTTTAGCTTCAGCTTCAGCTTCAGCTTCAGCTTAGCTTAGCTTTAGCTTAGCTTTAGCTTAGCTGTAGCTTAGCTTTAGTTTAGCGTTTCGCTTAGCGTGTCGCTTAGCTTTTCGCTTAGCGTTTAGCTTAGCTTTAGCTTAGCTTGAGCTTAGCTGTAGCTTAGCTTGAGCTTAGCCGTAGCTTAGCTTAGCTGTAGCTTAGCTTTAGCTTAGCTTTAGCTTAGCTGTAGCTTAGCTTTAGCTTAGCTGCTGCTCAGCTTTAGCTTAGCTTTAGCTTAGCTTTAGCTTAGCTTTAGCTTAGATGTGGCTTAGCGTTAGCTTAGCTTTAGCTTAGCTTTAGCTTAGCGTTACTGTTACTACTAATGCTGCTTTCCTAGGGGTTCCAACTCCTAGGTAGGGTCGCACTGGGATAATTTTTGTACGGGTGCGAACCCTTCAGTTGAAAAACACCATGTGCCTTGGAGGGGGGATCAACAATAATGATGTTTTAGAAATGGGATTTCAACAACAACAACAACAACAACAACAACGACGACAACAACATCCCTGGATTCCCGCCGTCTTCGTCTTCGATCGTACCCTCTTTGGGGAGGGGTCCTTCCTGGCCGCCACTGGCCACGCGTAATTGGAAAAGCCCCTAAACAGGGAAACGGAAGGGAAAACACAAGAAGAGAGGACGAAAGGATCGGAGGAAGGGAGGGATTAGAGGGGCAAGAGGGAGGGACGACGATGATTTGTGCCGCGAATTGCGATTCAGCTTGCGCCAGCCAATCCAACACAGGTTAACAAAGGCTTCGCCATGGGTCGCGCCATAAACAGCGCCATGTAACACCTCTGGTGCTGCCCGGCGAGGTGTTGGAGGCGAATGTGGTGCCCGCTGCCATCTCCTCGAGCGCTGCAGGGCCAGGGTGGGTGAGAGGAACCAGCAGGGGCCGCGGGCTTTGTTGCTGCTGCACGACATGCGGCATTCACGGCGAGCGGGGAAACCGCATAGTGGTAGCTGGTTTTGGTGCCGCCCTGCGAGAAGTAGGAGGTGAAACAGCAATCAGAGGCAGCAAGCTCTGGCACTTGTCTGCGGGACACGGCAATCGACACTGGGACCCCATTACATCAACTATAACGCGGTGGTCACCGCGCGCAGCATAACGACCTGCGGCAGTGGACAGCATTGTTGCCCAGCGGCCCCGTGGGAGGTGAAGTGGGAGCCCGATCTCATGAATCCCAGCGCTGGGATTCGAACGCGCGGGAATCTTATGTTACATATATATATATATACAATAACGGAGCACCGTTACCATAGCGCCGGGATCTGCGTACGCGAGAAGGGCAAGCCGCAGCAGCAGGCATTGGCGATGCTGCTCGGCGTGAAGTGGGAGGCAACGCTCACGGAAACATGGAAGGTGAACTGGAGCCCGCCGTCTCCAGCCACAACGTTGGGGTCATAGGTCTGGCATTGTTCGTTAACACATGGGAGACGATATCCAAGCCAAACCTCACCAGCTGCAGCGCTGGTACCGGCGCGTGCGCGGCAG